ACTATTTTTTTAATTCTATAAAAACTTACTAAATAGTGTATTGTTTCTGCTGTAAAAAATTTTATGTACTTTGATTTGGGTTATAAAATTTCCATATTTTTTTGTCAGACTATTTGGAAAAACAAATACTTCTCTGAAAGTTTTTTTTTTTAAATTGCTTATCAGAAAGATGCATTTTATATATCCAATCTATTCCAACTTCATTGATATTTATTAACATGTATCTTTTGATACGTTACATTGCCAATCGCAGTGTCACCACTTCCACATGACACACAGCAAAATTTATAAGGTCCTAGGTCATTGATAAATCTTATTTGCTAAGCTTGGTTGAGATCAAAATATATCTAATAAATATAGTTTCAATAAATAATACTTCCTTTTTTTTACTTGAATGCATCGTGGGAATTCAATAGTTAAAGATTTGAATTATCAGAATAAAAACTATCTAGGCTTACCTATTGTCTTGTCACAGAAGAAGATTTCTGTAGCTTTCAGATAGATATAATTTAATATGAAAACATTTCAAGAATAAATCTAGAGAAACTATAAAAAATTACTATATCTGTAGGTTTGTTCAAAAATCTTAAAAACTTCCCATTACTGTCCTTTAATCTTCCCTACTTTGGCAAGTTAATATTTCAATTAACCACACATTACTGCTGAAACCACTTGTAATATGTACCCTATGCTCACAAGTAGTTTATATACTCTGCTCTATTCAATCACATTTAGCCATTGGCTATAACTGTGTAACAAAACCACTAAATCACAAGGGATGATATTTTCTTTGCAAATATATAAACCTACATTTTGGGATGGGCATGATTATTTAAGAATATATTTTATAAAAAAAATCAATAAATGTGTTAGTTACAGTCCCTTTTAGCTGTGCAGAAATGAAAGTTGGAATGTTTTCATTATTCTTAGAAAGTATATTAAATAAATATCACAAAATGACAAATTATCAATTCCACAACATTTTCAGTTAGATTCTATTTTTAAATTAAATTTTGAAAGTTTATATGCTTGTGGGTACTCAATACCTGAAAGGTTCTTTGTAGTTCTGAATAGGGTTAATATCTTGTCAAGAAGCACCATAAAACTTTCAAAGCATTTTTCTAGTTTAGTAACTTTCAGGTCACTCAATAATCTTTTCCTTAAACTAAGAATTATTATCAAATACAAAGAAAAAAAAACCACTTTCTAACCTCTTCCACTTCTTTCACTGCATCTTCAATCTGTTTTTGGGCACGTTTCTTGATACGTTCTTTAAAAGCCCTTAATTCATCATCAAAACTATCTTTATACTCTCTGTCAGCCATCTGGATTCTGTAAAAACAGAATTTCAATTTTAATGTATTGTTTTCTTTAATAATGTATTATTCTCATAATACATACCCTGTTAAGTAGCACATAATACATGTGTTACACATAATTTATACAACCACAAATTAACCAGGTTCCATATTTGTCTATATTCATTCTGTGACTATACTGCTATTTCAATGTCCCCACTCAAACGCCACAGATGTTTAACTCATCAAGAGAGTTGAAGCCACTTTGAATGTGCTCAAATATTTCTAGTTAATTTTTTTTTCTTGCAAAAAAATACTAATACACAAATAATACAACAAAGGTTCTGTAAAAAATCCAATAACATCTAGATAAACAAATCCAAAATTCAAACAAAAATACACATATTAAAGATTTGTATTACTGTATCAGTTTACCAACAACATATTTTTACTTTACATAAATTTAATACAGGAGTGTATTAACACAGCATAAAATTTTAGATTAAGCCAATGTTTTGTACACCTTTAAGCTCTGAGTAGTTGTTCTAGTACTAGTCATTAATAGTTGAGATGGTGATTGTGTTTATATATCTTCTGGAGAAACTATACATAGCAATGCTTACTATAATTACAAATTTACTAAGCATATCTTCAAGAAATCTGGCAAGGTTTTTACTTTTAGTAAAAGTCTGTTGTACAAGAAATATAATATTTCCTATAAAGTATTTGTGCTAAGAAATTTTCTTTACATTTGCAGAGTCTGTCTGACTGCAAGGTGATTTTTCATTGCTGATAATAAAAATACTTCTCTTCATCTCACAGTTAATTAGCATAACCTCCTAAATTAATATAGAAAATTTTTGTAAGGTTATCTAACACTAACTTCAGCAATGAAACTGAAATGAAATTTTGAAAATTATGAAATAAAATGAAATTACCCTTTTCTTCGTCTTTCAATAATTAATGTTTTCAAAATAAGATTTAAATTATTCACAATTTCTTCTCATTTTTTTGCTTTTATAGTTTCATTGCCTGGCTTGTGTGACATTTGGTTTTTCTCATGCCTGAAGAACACCACACATCACATTGTAAAATTTAAGACCTGTGCCTAAAGTATTAGTCTTTGTCAACAGAAAAATTAATTTACCTTTAATATATGCATTTTAAAATAGAATGTCCAAGAACAGCTATAATTTATCTGTCTTTCTAACTAAGACATAAATAAGTAATACAGATTGTTAAATACTATGAGCACCAAGTTCCTTTACTGCCAAGCTACAGAACCAGGATATTTTGTTATTGTATATTCCCAACAATTGAGAGAACCATTGTAAGCTTGTAATTTAAAATAAGCTCCTTCAGTGGTTATAAAAAAAGTACATCATTTAAGACCACCAAGTTCTGAAAACAGCCTTGAAAGTTAATGATAGATGGGCAAGGCTTGTTGTGGTTGAAAAAATTTATCTCTCAGTTAACAGAGATATTAAGAAGTTCACACTGTAACGCTGGGATTTTGGAGTTATGCAAACCTAAAGAAGAACAAAGAATGCTTGCACGTCACGTGACAACAGAAGTAAATATTTAGAATTTTTAAATATATTTTTTCGAAATTAAAACTTACATAAAAATCTGAATTATAAACAATATTCTGATGCTAATTATTGACATACATTAATGATAAATAATTAATATTTAATTTTGAAAGTAACTCTGTAGAATGTTATGACATGCACAAAACAGCCGAACTGATTCTAATAAGTAAATTGACTTCATAAAAAAAAAAGAAATGTAACAATTAAACAAACAATTTCAAAAATCAAAGTTTCTATATTATGAAAAAAACAAAAAACAACATAATTTAAGTAGTTGTTTGCTAGAAGTCTCTGAATACCAAAGGTCAGTCAGTAAATTAAGAATTCACTGACAAAATTTAAAGTATAATCTTAAACCAGGTGATTCAGAAATGGATAGGTGCAGGAAAATAACTGTTAGTGGTATGGTGTTGTGGGATTATCCTGTGGCAATATCAGTGGGATCATTAATATGCATTATACACTCAAATTAACACTTTCAAGTACTACATCACAGATTTATTTGTAGGGGCAAAATGATGACATCAAGTTTTGAAAAATAAAATTATAATTAAAATGTTGAGATTTAAAATTTTGATTTTGATATAAAGTTTTGTTTGTTTCACATGAAGTATTTTAAAAAATCAAAACTGCTAGTCCTAATTTTTGATTCTGCCCTCTATTGTAATTATTAATGAGATGATAGAAATTGTTAAGTTTCCCACCTGCACACAGATAGAACTTGTCAGTTGATGAAACTAAGCCACAAATCTGTAAACTTTGGACTTGTTTGACTTGTATTTTTAGCTCAAGTACTTTAAAAACAGTGAATTATTGAAGTTGGTGATGTCAAAAACTAAAATTCAATTATCTACATGCTCAATTTTTAGGTTTCTGAAGATAAAACTATAAACATATTATTTGAAACCTGGGATTCTTGTCTTTTTCACAGTCTATTTGCCTTGAAGCTCCCTTCCTTTCTTGTTTAGTTACAATTGACTGCAAAGTTGTCAATTTCCTTACTATGTTTCGAAGCTATGAGGAGTTTTTCTCCTGTTAGTTAGTAATGGTTTTCTATTATTTGTATGCCATGGCAAGGTAATAAATGAAGTTCATGCATTTATCCTCCATGTTTATTTTATTGGAGTATATGAGTGGGCAATACATCTCTTTACAAGAACTCAGAGTTTTGTAACTCAAGGCCATCATGAATGCTAGCTTTGTATTTTGCCCTCAGGCAATGTTAGAGATTGTGAAATCTTTTTTGAGTACATACAAATTAGTAAAAGGAGGGCAAAGATGAATTCTATGTACAAGATAGAGTGAGATATGCCACTATTTTGCATGCATAGAAGGGATGCATTTATGCCAGTAACTGTTTTACTTGAGGAGTGATTTTGGTCATTTTAAAAATTTACATCTGTTATTGTTTGTACCTTTGCCACTGACATTTTGAGTGTATGATACATATTAACTTTTTCCAGCTCCGAGCCAGTTATTCTGCCACCTCTAACTTTGGATTAACCCTCTCACTAAGCTTTGTACTGTTTGTGTTTTATTGGAACACTCCTGAAGGAGCTGTAAAGTGAAATGTTGAGTGTCCAATTAAAGAAAAACAACAATTTGGTGTTCTAAAGTCATTTATATATAGTATTAAAGTCTTACGTACACCAATATGCACTACAGAATATAATAAAAACTACTACATAACTTAGCTGTTATGTATGACCCCTTCAACCATGGACATGAAAGCCATATACTATAGTAGGACTAATAACATTATGTACTAGGTCGCTTTGTTGAAAGAAATAATGCAATAAAATATTGTTTAAAGCATTAAAACTATGATCAATAGATAGTAGTTAGAAGATCGATATTTGACCATTTAAAAGGTCCCTGCTCTTTTGAATGGTCCAAAAAGTATTAAAAATAAGATAAGATAGCACACAAGCATTGTGCTGCATGCAGCTGCTTCCAAATCATCTAAATAATGCTACAATATTCAGTTGAAGAACAGTTTAACATTGTTCTCGTGTATGGAGAATGTCACCAGAATGCTCATATTGGTTCCAAATTATATGCTGAATAATTCCAAAATGAATGTCATCCTTCACATCAGATAGGAAATGTGTATCAGTGGCTGTGTACTACAAGCTCATTTACACATACATTCTGTGCAGTCATATCATGAACAGTAACCAATATCAACATTTAAATCTCCATATTGGCATCTGTCACCTTCTGGAACCACTTTGAACACAGCTAGAAAGATCGATTTCTACCATTTCAGAATACTATTAGATTATTGACCCCATCTACACTTATATGAGTTGAACTGTTCTTTTTGTGAAGTGATTTTTGGTTTGAAATGTTTCATTTGACATTGCCTACACCCTTTGCAATTGGCATTTTTGGTCTATAATGCACATCAGTAAGTTTTGAAGGACGTAATATTGTAGTTGACCTTGAATTACCTCAATGATATTGTTACAGAGTAGGTCTTGAGACCACATTTCATATCACTAACAATTTATTTTCCTGTATCTCTATTTCTGATTATTTTCCTGTCGATAGACTTTTGAATCATCTGTTATATTAGAGAGAAACATCACAAATGAAAAAACTTCTGTAGTTGATTTAATAAACAAGTAGCTAAGTTTCTTTCACCCTCATTATCTGTTGTTCTGGATCATTTACATGTACCTTCTCATGGGAACAAATTTTCTTCATTAATTTTGATAAAAAATAAGTTCATGTCCCAACTAGGTTAGCAATAATAATTCTAGTACACACCTGGAAAAGAAAGAGGAGATGCAGGCTCGTGGGTCCACATCCAATTGCTTGGCTAACTCCAGCAAGTATTGCATACAGATGCACTGATGAGCCACATGTTCCATTAACTGATGTTTCTGGTGGTGGGATAATACAATTATTACAAAGATATCTATGGATGTTATGGACATATAACATATTGAAATACTAACAAGTTTCTAGTATATCAATACCCACATTCATTTACTGATTAAAATTATACAGTCATTATTGTTTGAACCTTAATTCAGGTTAAAAGAAGAACACTTTACTTTTAAAATTAAGACTAACATAGCTAGCTTTATGGGCTTTAATTTAATTATAAATACTAATTACCAGTTAACCTATTAGCTATTTATTTAAAAACAATTTTCTGAAACAAATGTGAAAATATAAGATCCCTTGAAAATTATTGGTTTCTAATATAAAGCCACTAATAACACTGACAAAAAAGATAGTTACAAGACGTGCATATCACTATGAACAGCTCTGAAGAGATATAAAGCACAGTTACTGAAGTTTTGACAACGTTAACTACAAAAGGATTTAATACATTTATCTCACATTAACAATGATTCTAAGATTTATGATGAGCATCTTTTCAATTAAAACTTTTAAGAGAGTTAAAGATTGTTAACATGAAATTCAAAGTGCAAACACACAGGAAACCTGTACCTCTTCAACTTCTAGATTAATACACCAAATGACAAGATAATTAGCAGTATCTTCACATGCCAGATGTGGATGTTCTTGGAGAAAACGCTTACTGTCATCATATTTCTGAAGCATTCCATATTTCTTCAGTAGTGATTCATTCTCCTTTACATATCTTTTCTGTCAAAAGTGTAAACTTAGTTATTAAAAAATTTCAAGCTATCTTTGTTTAAAAATCATTAGCAGAAACCTACATGAAAAAAAAAGACTTCTATGGAGTACAAAATTAAAACTACTGAACTAACATAGCCAAATACACAAAATTCCATGCAAATGTCAACTGTACACTCCATACAGGAAACATTCTAAATTAGATTGTGTCATTCCTCTTTATACCTTCTGTGTTAAAGTACAAGTTTGAAACATATTACCATTAAGTTTTTCCAAGCCACAGAAAGTCACTTTTCCCCTCATTTGTCCTTCACACAATAGACATACTTAGCCCTTAGCCATAATATGACCAGAGAGCAACTTTCCACTGTTAAGTATACACTTGCATATACAATTTCCCAATTAAAGTAAAAATAGTAATTCTATTTCAACAATTTATGTACTCAGAAATATTTAAGAATTAATATTTTATAACTTCAAAAAACTTAGTGTAACTTTCAAAAAAACGTTGTTTAAACATTTGAACACTGATTTCTGCACAGCTCCACAATGCTCTTAGATTTTTTTCTACTAATTCCAAAGTATAGGTTAAAACTTACTCAGAACCTTTCATCTATTACAACTATTTATTCGTGTTTAGTTACTCATGTGATTTTCTTTTTTGTCTTTTATATCAACTATCCTGTTATGAAGAGGCTTCTATAATGCCACAGCAAGCATTTCATTATCCATGTACATCAATAAATAGGACATTAAAACATAACTTATAATTCAAATCTTAATATTATTGAAGTTTTAACTTCTCAATTTCTAAACGAAATATACACCTGGAAAAAAGTTAAACACCCCCAAATATTTTTCAGGATTGCTTATTGAAAATAAGGTTTAATTTTCATGATG